ATCACAGCATTTGGCTCTCAGGAAAAGGTTGTGAAACTATATGACCGTTCACAAGTAAGCTCTAGGAAAGAAAGCAATAGGCAATCTTGGTATGCAGGAGTTGGATTGTTTATCTCACAGTTCCTTACGAGTGCCCTTATAGCTGTGATTTGCTGGTATGGTGGGAATCTGTTATTCCAACGAAAGATAACATACAAGCACCTCTTTCAAATATTTTTCATTCTGATCTCAACAGGGAGAGTTATAGCAGAGACAGCTACTATGACAGCTGACCTATCGAAGGGCACCAGTGCATTGAAGTCAATTTTTAGGATTCTCCAAAGAGAGACTAAAATTGACCCTGAAAATTCAGATGGTATCAAACCAGAAACAATTAATGGAGGAATAGAGTTTAAGCAGGTGTATTTCATCTACCCAGCAAGACCAAAACAGATAATTCTGAGGGGATTGGACCTAAAAATTGAAGCTTCAAAGATTGTTGCACTGGTTGGAAGAAGTGGGTCTGGAAAATCCACTATCATCAGATTAATTGAGAGATTCTATGACACATTGAGTGGTTCAATTGAAGTTGATGGAATTAACATCATGTGCTATAACCTAAGGGCTTTGAGGTCACATATAGCATTGGTAAGTCAAGAACCAACTCTTTTCGCAGGAACAATACGCGATAACATTGCATATGCAAAAGAGAATGCAACTGAAGCAGAGATAATCGAAGCAGCAACCATTGCAAATGCTCATGGTTTTATAAGGTATCATTACTTGTTCATTTACTTTTGGACTAATCCTTCTCGGTCTCTTATCTCCTCATTGCCCAAATTTGCTTAAATCTGTATTTCCATGATAGCTACATGAAGGATGGATACAAGACTTACTGCGGAGAAAAAGGTGTGCAACTATCAGGGGGACAAAAACAAAGAATAGCGCTTGCTCGAGCCATATTGAAAAATCCTGCAATATTGCTTTTGGATGAAGCAACAAGTGCACTAGATGTTAATTCAGAGAAACTTGTCCAAGATGCACTGGAGAGAACTATGTCTAGCAGGACGTGCCTAGTTGTGGCTCATCGATTGTCTACGATTCAGAAAGCCGATAAAATAGTAGTGATTGACAAAGGGAGGGTCATAGAAGAGGGGAATCACAGTGAGCTTCTTGTTCAAGGAGAAAAGGGTGCTTACTACTCCCTTGTAAAACTCCAACAACTTTCTGTCATTTGATAAAGTGCCTCGAAAAGCAAGTAGCAAGCTCCAAGTAGTGAACCAAGATAAAAGAATACGCAGGCTATATTACAAACTTTTCTGAATTAACATTTACATGATAAAGTGTTGGGGTTTCTGTTCTTATATCTCTTGGTTTCAGTATTGAAATGTGAACTAAAATCTTTCCTGAAGCCACAATGATGACGTATTTCCAGTAGTTTAAATGCAAGCTCTGACGCCTTTTTTTTGGAGAAATTTGCAGGGAAATGGTCCTTTAAGACAAACCTTCTGTGACACAGTTGTTACCAAGCTTGCTTGCCATGTTTAACGCACTTTCAATACTCAAAGGACTCTGGTTTGCCATTCTCAATGGAAAAAAAATGAAGCAAATTCTGTCAGAATCTCACAAATTAGCAACAAATTTCAGACATTAAGTAGATAAACATTTACTAGATAAAAGAATAAATGTAACAACATTTACTAGATGAACGATTAAAACATATCACGAGTCTCTGAGCACGTAGCTCTCATAAGAATTTATGTAGCCGAACATGATCAAGAGCACCATAACTATGGAAGACATCCAAAACATTTATCAAAAAACTATTATATAGAAAGAAAAAAAACTAGAAAATCCTAATAATACCAAATAGGAAAAGTAAAATAGGGAACATTATAATAAAATACTAAAAATTAAAATTCTGAAGTGAAAATAAGAAATAAAAATAATTTAGGAAATTCTCCACAAACACTTGCATCAGCTTAGGAGTTAGGTCACTCCTATAAAAGGGAAACAAAATCAACATTGGAAAAAGGGTTTCAGGTTACAGTGTCTGGGTCAAGTTAAAATATAGATTATTGACTTTTTTTATTCAGACAGTGTTGAGGCCGTGTAAGATATTGAAAACTAACTCTTCTTCCTCACTTGACGAGGTACAAACTAATTCTAAATTAAGTTTTTTTTGTTTTTTTAGAACCGATGAATTCCAGAGTCTCAACCAAGAAGGCTATGTGCACGTCCTGAATCCTAAACCTCAGAATGTACTACAAGAAGGGTTAAGAATTGATGAACACGAAACCTTATGAATATAAGACATGGAGTTTTACCAATGAACCAACTCTTATGGTTAACTTTAAAGTTTCAATGATGATAATAACATGGAAAACCTTTAGTTTATTCTGTTTATGTAGTAAAGCTTCGATTTTGCATGTTAATATTTTTTTTTCGGATGGGGTTCTGTCAGGATCACAAGATAACAAGGGACCGAATCAGTCAGCTTCCAGATGAACTTATTTTTTTGATTCTCAAGAAGTTGCCATTGACTGGTACTGCTCGAACAAGTGTATTATCACATTGATGGAAGCATGTTTGGTCGTTGCGGTCTAATCCTATCTTGGATATGCGTAACATGCTCCAGCAATACCGTAAAAGTAAAAAAACCCGTTGGTGGCGTGAGGGCAGAGAAAAATTTGTGTAAGGGGTTAATCAGTTCGTAGATTCTTATCAGGTTAACAAGTTTGCCATTTATCTGCTGAATCATGCTTCCTTGCTTAAGCGGTTGATCATCAAGAAAAAACAGGCGTGGGACGAAAGTGAACGTGTAAAGATCTGTGAAGAACTGCAAAAATTCTCCAAAGATAGAGTGTTGATCGTTTGATGAATGTTTGTGAAAACATTTCAGATCGAAATTTTCTCCCTTTTTTCATTGTTTCCAGTATTCAATCATGCTTTTCGGGTGCTTGAAAATGAAAGTAATGAAGAAAAACTGAAATTCTTGAGTTTATACCACATAGTCTGCGATCATTCTCTCTTTCTGACAGAATCTCAATATCATTTAAATAGACTTTACGTACCATGTCCGGAATAGTTTATCAGGATTATTTGACATGCTGGAGGATTGGCATGCTAGGAACATGTTATAGAACCAGGTTCACAAATGGGAATCTCACGTAGTGGGCTAGAGAGCTTCACAAGGATATCAAACCGAGTCATTTTCCTGAGCAGAAAACAAAAGGGATTATGACCCCATCAAAAAAGTTTTCATTTTGACTGGTAAGTGATATGTGTTGTTGCTTTGGGATTTTGGGTTTGTAGAGAGCAAAAAGATCAGAGCTTTGGTAAAAAAGGGGGAGAAAAAAGAAGGTTATAAGTAAGGATAAATTGGCAGTGTGCTGCTGTTTTGTTTGCAAAGATGGAGGAACTCTCAGGGTTAGTGATTATGCTTGCTGGTTACACAATGCAGATGGGTTAACTTCCTCTATTCGAAAATCATATTTGTGTAAATTTGAGCTAGTGTCCAGTGCATCTGTATGAATAAGAATGCATCTATGCATGAGTACAACGACAACGTAAAGCTATACAACAGATTAGGAATAAGTTGAAGTCAGTTTATTTTCCCTAAAGCTTGTCGCCCTAACTACGTGGAAAAAGATGACGATTTCTCGGAGAGTGAAGTTCCCTGGAGCTGCAGCAAGTTGCTATGCTTGATGAAATGGGACTAGAAATCAGTGGATGCCAATTGTATGCTCACGGCTTATACATTCATATCAATATGAAAGTTACTAAAAAGGGTCTTTCACTAGTCTCCAAGTAGCATTAGAAAGTTTTCTTGCAATAATTTCCGAGTAGCATTCATCCATTGAGTTTCTAAATGGTTGCTATCTTTGTAGCTTGCAAGAAAAATCAAATCAAATCAAAATCACATCATTTTTTTATATTTTATCATGTCCCATAATAATATTTACAAATGGGTAAATAACTAATACTAAGAGATAAGATAATAATGTTTCAATCGAGCAGCTCTTCATCATCCAGTGCAGCTTCTCTAGCCTATTCACCACCCTCCTTATCTTCCTCTAACTCCAAGAAATGAGACAGGAGGAGGAGATCAAGGATGCTATTTTGACCTGTTCCTAAGTTTTCTCAGTTAACTATTAATGTACTTTAAGGAAGTAGTAGATAATGTGCCACTTGCCACTTAGGAATGAGAATTTAGATCACTTTTGTAATGTATTAGTTGTCGTTTTTAGAAACAAAAAATTGAAAATATATTAAAATAATATTTTTTATATTTTTTAAAATTTATTTTAACATCATCACTTTAAAATAATTTTAAAATACAAAAAATATTTAATTTGAAATAAATAAAATTTTAAATTGTTTTAAAAAAGTTTTTATAATGCAAACACAAAAACAAATGATACATTAATCTTGATGAAAATTTTCATCTAATTGGATGAGTAGATTTTTTTTTAAAATAATTATTTTTATATAAAAAAAAGAGTATAAATATTGCTAAAGTCAATCTAAACATGATTCAAATCTAACATTGATTTTTATATGTGATTAAAAGACAACTTGTAATTAAAATATTGGCAATATACAAATGTTTGCAAAAAAAATTTCCTGAGCCACCAAAAATTTTCCATTAATAATAATAATGATTTGCCATCTTGTCTACGTAGAACACAAATTTGCAGGAAGGATTATCCAAATTCATTCGCCATATTGGTTCACTTGATTGTACAAATTATAACAATAACGAGGCCGAGCCCAAAGAACAGACCCAATGAATCTTAATTCACTTACAAATTTGATAGGCTCGACGACCGGGTTAAGAATTTGCTCGTTAAGCTCGATTAATCTAGTCCAAATTTAATTTGATTTAAAAAAATTAATATATATATATATATATATATATATATATATATATTTTAACTTAACATGCCCTTCTTTTAATCTAATTGCTGGCCAAGTCACGGGTGTTATGATTTTGCATTAACCTATTTAAATTTTGAAAGTGATTATTTATAGAAGGACCAGCAAGCATAGAGGGACAAGCAAGCATGATGCCCTTCGGGACTGCATCTACTTCTGATGCATTAGACAAAAAGGAAAATGATAAGAGTTGAGACGGTTTTCACTAACTTTTGAGTCGCATGAACACAAGTACGATCTTTGGGCACCGAGGCTTCCCATTCTTGTGATTTCTCCAGACGCCCTGCTCACAAAATATTTAAAAGATCCTTTTGTCTTCCTCTCAGCTGCTTCAGTTTTTTTTATGGCACCTTCAGGAATCCAGGTTCTATATATCCTGTTTTGGTTCTTGTAATCTCTTTCTTGATAAAACAGAAAAAGGGTTTTGTTGTGATGATTGTCTCTGACTGGTAAGTAAATGATAGCATTTTTTGGTTAAGAATAGATTTATCTATATGATGATGATGATCTCACTTGAAGTTCATATAGGACTTGGGAATTGGCCTGATCACATGTTCATGATCAAACTGAATAACCCTCTTGTTGATTTGAATTCTTGTTTCTCATTGCTAATGGAACTAGGAATTTCCTCTATGAAGACTGCTCTTGATTGCAGCAAAACTTGGTATCAAGAAATTTGGAATTTTCTTGACATGTTGCAGATAAAAAATTAACAGGAACAGGAACTGATATTAAAATCTTGGCAGAGGCTTGAGAAGGGTGATCAGAAGTCTCGAGTGGCAGTAGAGAAGGTCAACACGTGGAAGCGCCTTGATGATGAGAAGCTGATCAAGCTTGATGAACAAATCTCATGGGAGTTTCACCAGTCAAGATGGCTTGATTACAGGTACTGATGAGATCTCATATCTTAATCAGATCATGTTACATGTTCTTGTTCTTCTGTTTATGTTATTGTTGCATATTGCCATTTTAAGACATCTCCAATTTTTTCATCTGATTGTGATTCAAAATATGTGTTCAACTTGATGTTAAAAGCCAAGCTGCGGTATGTTCGTCTTTCGAAAAACCCGCTTGAGCGTCCCCTGAGGTTCAATGTGAAAACCATGATAAGAGTTAAAAATGACAGACATTGAGAATTTAGGGTAGTAGCTTTGTCTGAAAGAATTCAAGACTTGACATTGCCTTATAAATTTCTCCAAGCATAGGCAAGAGGCCCGTGTATTTGGAACTCCGCAGTAGCAGCCTTGCTAGGCTTTACCTTATGGAGGCTATACTGGTCTAGGAGATGAGTCACAAGTCAAAGTCAAAGACAACCATTCCTGCCAGGCTAAATTCTTTTCCCCATTTTACTTCTGTAACCAAGACACAAAATGATAACAGCAGAAAAACGTTCACAAATCAAAAGTGCTTAACCATCTGCATAAAAATTAAAAAGGCTGTTTAAGATGTCCCAGTTATGCCTTTTACTGTGATCCACTGCTAGCAGACAGTTCCAGAATTTTAAGGCTGTTCTTCAAACGTTGGTAGCTCCGAAAGTTGTTGGAGTTTTACTAGTGAGTAATATGCACCCTTTGTTCCTTCAGAAAGCAGGCTGCTGTGATTCCCCTCTTCGACGATCCTCCCTTTGTCAATCACTACTATTTTGTCTGCCTTCTGAATGGTAGATAGTCGATGAGCCACAACTAGACATGTCCTTCCAAACATGGTCCTCTCTAGTGCCTCTCGAACAAGTTTCTCTGAATTGACGTCCAGTGCACTTGTTGCCTCATCCAAAAGCAATATTGCAGGATTTTTCAGCAAGGCTCGAGCGAGTGCGATCCTTTGCTTTTGCCCTCCCGATAGTTGCACACCTCTTTCTCCGCAGTGGGTCTCGTATCCATCCTTCAAGGAGCTGCTTATAAAATTAGTAGGTTTTGAAAATTTAGATTTGAACCGATAAGAGACACAGAATATTAGAAAAGATGGAGGTAAGTTATAAACGAACCTTATAAAGTCATGAGCATTTGCAGTGGTTGCTGCTTCAATTATCTCAGCTTCAGTTGCATTCTCTCTTGCATATGCAATGTTGTCTCGGATTTTTCCTGAGAAAAGAGTTGGTTCCTGACTTACTAATGCTATATTTGACCTCAAAGCCCTCAAGTTATAGCATTTGATGTCAACTCCATCAATTTCAACTGAACCACTCGCTGTGTCATAAAATCTCTCAATTAATCTGATGATGGTGGATTTTCCAGATCCACTTCTTCCAACCAGTCCAACAACCTTTTGAGCTTCAATTTTTAGGCTTAAACCCCTCAAGATGATCTGTTCCGGTCTTTCCAGGTAGGAGAAATACACCTGTTTGAACTCTATGTCTCCATTGAAATTCTCTGGCTTAATAGCATCTGAGTTTTCTGGTTCCATTTTAGTATCTCTTTGCAGAATCTTAAAAACCGACTTCAACGCGCTGGTGCCTTTTGATAGGTCTGCTGTCATACTTGCACCCTCAGCTATAATTCTGCCTGTTGATACCAGAATGAAAAATGTTTGAAAGAGGTGCTTGGCTGTGATCTTTTGATTGAATAACAGCCTCCCACCATACCAGAAAATCAGAGCTGTGAGAGCACTTGTAAGGAACTGGGAGATGAACAATCCAAGTCCTGCGTACCAAGATTGCTTGCGGCTTTCTTTCTTGGAGCTTACCTGTGTAAGCTCATATAGTTTCAAGACCTTCTCTTGGGAGCAGAATGCTGAAATAGTTCTGTGGTTCCCAACTGCCTCGCTAGCTAAGTTACTGCTCCTGTTCTGTGCTTTAAGTATTTTCTTAGACATTGTTCGCATTGTCATCACTCTTAGATAGAAGGCAGCAATGATACAGGGCTGTAGAGCAATGGCTACTAGTGCAAGCCGCCACGACAACACTAAACCTAAAACAACAGCCAAAGTTGCTGCTGATGTCGCCTGAGTCAGAAATGACAAGCGATCAACAACAAGATTTCTCACTGTGGCTGCATCCGTGGCCAATCTCGAACATACAGCACCGGTGCTGTTGTTTTCTTGATCGAACCACTCAATCTCAAACGTTAAGATTTTATGAAAAATTTCCTCCCTAAGTCTTTTCGTCAAGCTCTCTCCCGTTATCCCAAAATAGTAATGCTGAATCACATTTGTCAGGATAGTAAAGACTGCAAAGGCTAAAAACGCAAAGCAATAGATTCTTGTTTGAGACCTTATCTCGCTATGATCATTTGTAAAGTATACTGATAAAAGTGCTGCCATACAGAATGAGTGCAGAGGTTGAATTAATCCGTAGCCTACAGCTGCAATGCAACCTATTAGAGATGACTTCCATTCCGGTGCTGCCATGCTTATAAGTTGCCATAAAGATGGGGGACTGTAATTATCCTCTTTCTGCTGATTTGTTTTCATACAGCGACTGAAACTTCGAGACAGTGATGTGTCCACTGTTTCCTCTGCCCCATTCATTCCATTGTCCAAAGCAACGGAGCTGCCATACTCCTGAGTATCTTCTGATATAACACTGTCGGCCATGTATGTTCTCTGTAGCTGCACCATTACTGCATAAGCACCACTTCGGTTTTCCATAAGTTGGTCATGAGAGCCAAACTCGACCACCTGTCCAGATTGAATAACAGCAATTACATCAGCGTTTCGGAGAGTAGACTGGCGGTGTGAAATGATAATAGTAGATCGTCCTGCGGAGGCCTGGTTTAAAGAATTCTGGACAGCGTTTTCAGAATGCGAATCCAGTGCACTCGTTGCTTCATCAAGAAGAAGAATTCTTGGGTCCCTTAATAGTGCTCTTGCAATGGAAATCCTTTGTTTCTGCCCTTCAGACATATGAGCTCCCAATTGCCCCACCTGTAAAGTATGTGGCATTGACCTATCTATCAGTACCTTCTCATTCTTTTTTACCTCGACGAGTAACAAGTTATAGTAAGATTGACAGCGGAGAATTATCAAGATGATGATGTGAAGTTAGTAGAGAAATGGTTACGGGGAGTATTAACAGATTTATAACATCAGAGCTAACCCTATATAAGGACTTACCATAGTGTTATATCCTTCAGGTAGTTTATGGATGAAGTTGTGTGCATTAGCAGCTTTGGCTGCTCCGATGACCTCTTCCATGGAAGCCTCCTCTTTTCCGAAAAGAATGTTTTCTGTGATTGAGGTTGCAAAAAGTACAGGCTCCTGGCTTACAAGCCCGATTTGACTTCGCAGCCATTTCAGCTGAAGGCTCTTTATGTCAATACCATCTAGGAGAATATCTCCCCTAAGTGGTTCATAAAACCTCTCCAGCAAATTTACGACTGTTGATTTGCCTGACCCACTTTTGCCTACCAAACCAACAGTCTGACTAGCCATGACTTTAAGATTAAACTTGCTCAGTACCAAGCTCCCTGGTCTAGAAGGATACTCGAAGTCTATGTCTCGAAATTCCACTTCACCTTTAACATCTGACATGGTTTTCCCCCGTTCATCTGCGGGATCAATCTCTGGGACTCGATAGATCATCTTAAATATCTGAGAAGCAGCCATGTTTGCCTCTATGAAGTACTTCACATTGATTAGAGAAGCCCCTAGAGCACTGCAAGGTTTATATAGTATTAATTTCAATTGTTATATTCTGAAAAGAAAGTGAAAGAACTTTTGGCGGCTATGAGTGCAACTTCCAAATTAAGTTCATCAGGACATTGCTCTTAAAATATCTCTACTTAAAAAGGCATTTGCTCTTTGCATTTTTCTGAAGAAGCTGAAATTTTCCGTTTTCTTCTTTGATATTGACTGCTAATATGGAAAGTTTTTCGGGTTCTGTACCAGCCCCTATTGCCTATGATGATCATGCTCCTTGTAGTCTACTTTCAAGGGGAAAAATATTAGAAGTGTAGTGAACTTACAGTCCTCCATATATAACGCATACTCCAGCAACAAAAACATTTCCACCTTTGGCTCCTTTATTTATGATCAGGGTACTTCCATACCAGCCCTGAAGTGCCCACACTGCAAATGTAATGCCAATAGTACCAATGGCCATACCTTTCAGCAGTCCTTGTTTGATCCCCAGCTTAAGAGTTGGTTGTAATGCAATCTTATAGTCCTCAGCTGTCTTCTCCTCTCCACCATATGAATAAACAGTCCTGATTGATGACACCGCTTGCTCTACCATCACCCCTGCAACTTCATATGCTTCTTGTATCATTTTTCCAACCTCACCTAGGAGCTTCCCGTATACTAATCCTGGAATGATTAACATTAGCAATGCTGGGATTGCAACCATAGCTAGTCTCCAGCTGAGGTATAAAGCAGCTAGTTGGCCCGTGATGAACATTGTTATGTTTGAGATGAAATTGGCAATCTGTTATTCAAATGCTATGTCAAAGTAGGCATGCTACAGGAAACAAAATAAGAGAAGAAGCAGGAACTTTTTTTTGTTAAATGAGGGTAGTGCATGCACCTTCTCAGTAAGAACTCCTTGTATGGTTAGCGTGTCAATTGATATATTGGAAACTATTTGAGACGTGAGGGATAGGCCCTGATTTTTATCAAAGAATCCAACATCTTGCCGCAAAACAGCTTGTAAATATTGTCTGCGAAGTCGAAAAGTTTGCCTTTCTGCCGTGCGTGCCCAACAGAATCCTTCTGTTGATGATCAAAGACCAATACAGAATGAGTGGATCACGCATATTTTATAGTATCTGCAAATCATCTCACATAAGCTCTATGTGTTTTTATGTAAGCAAAAGGGAGAAAAGTACCTAGAAATGACCCTGAAGCCACACCAACAGCAACATAAGTTAAGGACAAAGCAAACTGCATTGTTACCATGTACAAAAGGGTCATTAACTTTCTACATAGATACCATTTTTTCTGATGTTTTTTCTTTTAATATAACTCCAAAGACGAGTAATGTGTCTGTGATCCAACCTTGTTTATGTCTTCGATGGTGACAGATGAACCGCCGTAACTGTTCATGAGGTCACTGAGAATTATCATGATCAATGACATGCTTGATCCATCTGCAACACTCCCTATTGACCCAAGTGCCATCAACAGAACATCCTTCCAATCTGAATGCTTCAACACAGTCCGCAACGACCCAGATGGCATACTACTTGCTTTTTGCTCGACTTCATCCTTGCTGAATGGTTCTCCTCTCTTCTCTGATTCTGAACTAAGCTCTTCCATTCTTCAGCAACTATTTCCTGCTAATTTCTCTTGATGTTCTTTCAAGTTATATATCAGTACAAACAATCAGGGTTGCTGTGTTAGGACTTCTGAAGTGAAGATACTGTTAGAAGCTGCCTTTTGAAGGAGCTCTCAGCACTTTTAACCTTAGCTTAACCTCTGTCGCAACATTAAAATGCACTGTATGTTATAAATGTGATCTTTTTTTTTTGTTATAATATTATTAAAATGCACTGTATGTTATTAATGTGTTCTTGACATACTGTAAGACATTGATTTATATTATATAGTAAGATTTTCTATTTACTCTTCTTGTTTTTTCCAAACACCTGGAATTATCTAGCTAGTACTAAAAACAAGATTTCTTGGGACCATCAACTGAATATATGATACCTAGGACCGCTATCTTTGTACGTTGTCAAATCTGTGATTCTTGATGTCTTCATCTGCCTGTGCCGGCTTGTTCTGTAGATGACAAGCATTGATGCAGTGGAATCTCTCAATTACTGGCTATTTGATTTTGTCTTGCAATCCAAGTTGCCGCCTACCTGCTGTACAAGTACTCGTCTAGCTAGCATTACATCTGATGCCATTAATGTAACTGTGCAATGCTTGTATCATATTGTGGATTTCTAATGGAAAACCTCAATGTCGCTCCTAACGTATTACTTGATTATCAATTCAGATCAAAACTTTATCGATTTTAGTCCAGACATAATTGAGATTAGACAATGTGATCCAAACGGACGTACAAATAAGAAGACAATAAGCAAGAAAGAGCTAATGGCCTTATAAGAAGACAATGTTAAAGGCTCTGTGCTGTAGATTCGGAGGTCACAAGGATTTTAGATGAGTAGATGGAACCAAGGCAGACTGAGGCCCTCAACAACTATATTTAGGAATTTAATGTCATGTGCAGTAGGGCTGAAATTAATCAGTGAGAAAATGTTCTAGCCAAAAACTATAGATTTTTTTCATCATTTTCACTGAAAGTTTCTCCCATATTAATTTCTTGCCAGGTTTGATGTGTTTGAGTAATTCCCAAGGCTGTATGAAAACAAATGGAAGGAGTTAGGATCCTGTTGTTTTGTCAACTAGCTTTTAAGGTTTGTTGTTCTGGACAAGAAAAGGAAGACTAGGATATTTTGGCACCACCATGGGAGCATGCTTTGAGGAGTAGGGTGCTGCTGGATAATATTCCTGATTTTCAAGCATTTACGCTTTATGCCAACTAATTTGTACAATCATTGTAGATGTATTCTTTTCATTTATGTCATCGTAGGATGGCAAAGTAAAAGTGATTTTGATTAAAATTGATTAATCATTTAATTGAAATATTAGAGTGACTATGGATTGATGGTGAGTATGGACATATTTTACTCAATGTGTGATAGATACATGTGAATTATTTTTATTTTTAATATTATTAACATAATAAAATGTTATAAAAAATAAAAAAAAATCCGTAAATGAGAATACAAAAACATAAAATAATAAATTGAAATTCAATAAATTAAAGAAAGAAATGTATATATTTCCAAAAAAAAAAAGTTACATGTATTTTCAAAATGCATATGGACTCCTTAAGCAGTAAAGATCCAATGTATATGATTCATATATAAAAGAAACACAAAGATTTAAATGAATAAATATAAACTTTGCAAAACCCAAAAAAATAAACATATTATTACTCTAAAATTGCGTACTATATGATCATTATAATAAAACCTTGCCAAATCTTTAAGAGATATCTTTTACATTAGTTTTGGCAAATATTATAATGTTTTAAGAATGATTATTGTTTATTATAATTTTAAAAAAAACAACGTAAGAGAAAGCATAGACCACCCGCGTAATAGCAATCAAACAATTGCCTAATTATATAATGTTTTAATTGGTACTATTATTATATTATATTCAATCTGTTTTTGTTAAATAACATTCAAACCGATTTTCTAAAACATCAGAATATCATTAAAATATTTAAAATCAATCAATATTAAAATATAAACATCATTTATTATTATTATTATCATTATTATTATAAATAAAAACCTAACACCTCTTGGTTTTACAAGAATTTTAATTGGTTGAATCCGCTTAACTTATTAAATTTTAAGTTTATATTTTAATGATTATAAATTTGAATTTTCTTATCTTACTAAAAACTTATATTATTGTCAATTTTAAAATTTATGAAAATAATTAAGATACGCATAATTTAATTCAAATATTCAATTTAATAAATAAAAAATTGACTGATTAAGAAGGTTTCATTTATTTTAATTTTTTTTGGTTTTCAATTCTATCTTTTATTTTTCTTAACAATAGCATATATATATATATAAACCTCACTTGGAGTTTCTAAACAAGCTGAGAGGCAGACTATATGCCAACAACAATGGCAAGATTAATCTGATGATATTATAGGATAGTCTCCCAGCAGAAAATGTATATTATAGACAATCACAAAAAAACAATTTTTACCTTATGCTCCCATGTTTTTTCGAACAATCTAAACACCAAGAGACAAGAGTCACCCTAGGTAGCTATATAATCATTTGCCATGAAACCTGCTTGAATACAGTTCAGCCACATTAATAATATGAGATTACATATACAAGAAGCACGCCTTCTCCAAGCATTGTTTATCCTGCTGTCAACACGATAACTTACAGCTGAGACAGTAGCATTACTACAGATTTGATGACCCAAGCAAACATCAAAAAATAGGAATCAAACAACAAAGAAAGACCATATTTTCATAAAAAAAAAAAAAAGAGAAAGAAACATGGCAAAAACATCTTAAACAAGTCTTAAATCGAGTTTTATATATTAGATATAATCAAAATCTTAATTTAAATAAAAAATAACATGAGTTTTAAAAAATTAAGCTAAGAATTTAAAATTAACTTGAATAATAACAAAAATGATTGAAACATTATCTGACAGACGTTTGTACATGGTCTTCCCAACCTTTTCACTGTATAGCCCAGAGAATTGTTTTAGAAAATTTGAACTCGATTCAATAATTAAATATAAAGTTATGAATATTTATTTAAAATGATATTATTTTAATGATTTTTAATAAAAAAATTCAAATGATATTATTTAAAAAAAATTAAAAAATATCAAACTAATTTTCATCATGACATATTTTAATACATTAAATCAACTAGATTAATTTTAAGTTGAATTTATTTTAACCTAACTCATATCAAAAAATAGATTTGGGGTCGACTCTCAAAGCTAGACCAGGTTAATTAATTATGCAACAAACGTTATGACATGCAGGCTATAAGGTCAAAACAAGTTATGGCTTATAACTAAAAGAGTTATAAGTAATGAATATAATCCAAAACTAAAATTTTTGAAGTTTTAAATCAATAAAACTTATAAAAAATATCAACAATTAATTTCTATTGTGATTTTAAAATTAATCAAACCCAATAAATATGTGACGGGGGGTTTAAAATTCACCATTAAATTTGGTTTGATGAAAACTCATCCAATCAACATCAATCAGTAGTATAATAGAGCTAAGTTATTTTTATGACCAACAAGCAATTATATTAAGTCAATCAATATTAGTGTTTACGAGGAAGAGAGTTTTAGGACGTAACTCAAACCATGTTTTTTAAAATTTTAATTTTTTTAAATGAAATTTTTTTATGTTTTTAAATCATTTTAACATGTTGATATTAAAAATAATTTTTAAAAATTAAAAATATATATATTTTAATATATTTTTAAAGAAAAAATATTTTAAACTATAACTGTTATTATAATTTCAAACATATCTAAAATCTTGAATTTAAAAAAAGTAAAAAATCAAAACCTTAGATATTGCTATAAAACATGTCATATTTCAAGTGGTTAAGCTAGAAATCCAAATCAATTTAAAAAAATATCTTTTTATTTTTTAAAAATAAAAAATATATTTACGAAAATTAAACTGAGTTGATAATATTATAAATTAACCTAACAAATAAATCAGGTCATTTTCAAATATAATTTGATATAAAATCTTACTGGAGCTAGGTTATGGATTGATAAGTCATTAACTTAAATGGTCAGAGTAAGTTTTACATCAATGCCCTCAATTATACCACTAATATCAGATTATCTATCAAATAATTTTTTTTATCAATTTTATTCTTAAATTTTTATAAATTTTTAATTAGAAATCTATATTTTTATTTAAATTGCACTTTTTCTATAACAAATTACAGGATTTTGCATATAGCTTAAAGGATCTGTTAATTGATTCTAACGAAAATTCTAGTTAATAAATAAAAATATTTTTCAAAAACAATTGACAAAAAAAATAATTTAGAATAAAAACTTGCAAAAAAAAAAAAAACCATTAAGCTGTAGAAAGGGCTGCTTGTTTTAATAAGGCCCAGATAAAGAAACCTTGCCAAAAAATAAAGCCCAACCCAACCCATTTAAATTACGAATGGCCCGTATGTATAATTATAAACACACACAATAACTAACTATCTATTAGACGGAGATTTATTTTCTTTTTTCTTTATTTTATTTTATTTTGAAAAAAAAAAGTGATTTTTAGGAAATAACCCATAATTGGGTTATGATAAATATATTTATAGGCTTCCTTCGATCACATTTACGAGGCACTAAAAAATCTCCTTTCTGTTTGGTTGGAGAAAGCACGAGAAAATCGAAATGAAAATTTATTTATTTATTTATTTTTCTGAAGGATTTCAAGAACGGTATCACGGAAATTCAAACTCTGAGATCAAATTTGAATGCAGAGACTAAGAAAACAGAAGCACTCGAGTTCACTTGCAAATCTCTTAATCAAGGTGTTCCTCTTCTTAATTACTGCTTAATCTCTCTCTCAATCGCCTTTTTTCTTTTCTTCTTTTCTTAATTACTGCTTAATCACTCTCTTAATCGCTTTTTTATTTGTTGAGTATTCTTATTCTTATTCTTATTCTTATCTGCAGAAAATGAGAGACTTAGGAAGCTGTACACAGGATCTTTGAACAATCTAGCTGAAGAGGTACGTGCAATTTTGTTAATTATTAAAGCAAGTTTTTTTTTATATGTTGCTTAGTTTTTTAATCACTACAAGTTTCAAGCAGAATTGATTGATAAAAATAAAAAACTAATTAAATTTTTTATTGCTTGAATTTATGTGAGTACAGCTTGAGCGCCGTACGAAATGTGTAAGCTTGAATGAGGAGCTAAAAAGATCGAGAGATGAGCTGATTAATAAAGAGGATGTAAGTTAATT